AGTTACTCAGCAATACATAACTAAAACACACTGTACAGCTGCTGGCCCTGTGCCTGGAAGTGAGATTTTTCACACACGTTTAAAAAAATCTCTAGGCTGCAGACCTGGGCAGCCTATTCCATTGTCGGGCTTTGAGCTGTATAAGAGTTTGCCCATGACCTGCAGCCCAGAGGGCATGATGGGGATGGGCAAATAAGGGACTTACCCTAGTGACACAAGAATCCCCAAATAGAGGGATTTTGACCAAGAAGCTTAAACATAATTATTGAAAAGAAACTTAACAGTATCTATAAACACTGCATAATTCTGTTTCCTTCTATTGATAGGTAAGCCTTTCTCTAGGAAGGGGCCCATAGACCTTGCTTAAGAACAGTTTAGTTACTGTTAATCTCATCAGCTTCCCCCAAAAAGGAAAAATCATCATAGGATAGTTTGCATCCCTTTCTCTGGATAAGATCATCTAGGGAAAAAATAGAGAGAAGAGGGCTTAAGTGATCTCATCCATTCCTACTGATTTAAAAGCCATCCTAAATCTGATAACTTCCAAATTTGTAACTCTAGTCCAGACCTCTCCCTTGAGTCCCAGTTTCACATATTCAACTGCCTCTAAGACATCTCCATTTGGGTGTCTCATAGATATCTCGAAATTAAAATCCTAACACTGAATTATTGATTCTCCACTCCCACAGTGGTCTTTCTAGTGGCATCCTTATTCACTCACTTGTTCAAACCAGAAACCTAGGAATCCACCTTCATTCCTCATTTTCCTTATTTCCCACATCAGATCTATCAGTAATTCATGTTCATTTTTTCTCCAAAACACATCTTGAATTTACTGCTGTCATCTTATTTCCGGGCCATCCTCATGCCCCATGGATTATTGCATCAACTCTTAACTAGTCTTCTATTCTCTCTTCCTAATCCCTTCTCCTTTCGTCGTCCAGGGAGATTTTATTAAAATCAAAATTGGTCATTATTTTCCTACCTTAAACATTTCAGTGGCTTTCCATTCATTTAAAATAAAATGGAAACTTGGCTATCTCCTGCAAGGCGTTTGGTGATCTGGCCTCATCTACTTCTCAACCTCCTTTGCTACCATTCCTTCCCCTTAGTTGTTATCCCTCCATCACACTGATCTTCCAGGCCTCAAGCACCTGTCAAATCCTTGCTTGCTTCAGGGCCTTCTCACATGTTTTTTCTTCTGTCTAGAATTTTACCCTCCCATTCTTCATCTGTGAGCAGCTTCTCACCAGCTCAAAGAGTACTTCCTTATCTTAGGGAACAGCTCTGTTCAAAGTTATATAAAATAAATAACTCAATTGTTATTCTTTTTCTTGGTCTCTTATTTTCTTTATAACACTTACCTGGATTTGTGATTACACTATTTGCCTTTTTACTTGATTTTGTTTGTTTTTGCCTGTCTTTCCCACTAGAATGTAAGCTTCTTGAGGGCAGGAACCATGTTTGTCTGTTTCATCATTATAGTAGAAATTCAATAAATAGTTGTTAAATAAATGAACGAGAAGTCTAAGGATTACAGGAGAGGGCCGGCCCCGTGGCTTAGCGGTTAAGTGTGTGCGCTCCACTGCTGGCGGCCCGCGTTCGGATCCCGGGTGCACACCGATGCACTGCTTCTCCGACCATGCTGAGGCCGCGTCCCACATACAGCAACTAACAGGATGTGCAACTGTGACATACAACTATCTACTGGGGCTTTGGGGGAAAAAACAAATTAAAAAAAAAGGATTACAGGAGAGTTATGTATGATTCTTAAGTCTCCGGTGTAGGCAACTGAAAAGAAGGTGGTAGTATCCTCAAGATAAGGACAAGAAACCAAAAAGAATCAGTTTAGAAGAGGAGGAGGATGAATATGGTTTTAGACATAGTGAATGTAAGGCACCTATGTAATATAATAGTCAGGTGATGCTACCTAATGGGTTGTCTCTACAAGAATCAAGTGTGTCTATTGTAATAAAGAGACTTCATTTTTGATATGTGACGGCTGGCCTCATATTAGGCCTCACTGTCCTTTCCCCTGTGGCCCCACATCTGGACAGGCTGATAAGGAGCCCCCTGGGCTTGCTTTGCCTCCTCCTTTGGCACTAGCAGGAAATTTAAGTTTCCTATGCACAGGAACTTTTCCCCAGTCCCACCCCTTAATCACAGTAAAGGCCCAAACCCACTCCTTCTTCTTTGCCCAAATCAGTCCAGACCACTTGTGCCTGCACAGCTCTCCTGGGAGTCCTTTGCATCAGTAATACTTTCTCTCAAATTCTCCTGGTGTGTGGAGTATCACCTGAATCAAATTTTGGGTAGGAGTCCCTCCTGCTTTTATAGGAGGACTCTATAACATCTATATAAGCTCAAGTCAGATCTGGGCTAGATAAATACAGATTTGGGACCTTCAGAAAGTCAATAAGAGATAGCAAAAATGTTTCATGACAAATTCTTCTCTGATGGCTTGGCAGAGGCTGCCCAGTACATTGGGTTGAAAAAGACCAAGACACAGCAGGAAAGAGTTTTGTGTTGATTATTAATGTCCGCTGTGGACATGAGTGTTGGAAGTAAAGATATGAATGTTATGTATTTCTTCCCAGAACTAGAGGATCTCAGATTTCCTTCAAAATGTTAACTTTGCATTAAACCAAATTAATGGCAGATAGTTGAGTAGTCTACCCAAACTAAGGTAAAAGTCTCTATTGACAGGTAATTAAATTTTATTTAGTAGTTATAAAGTGTATATGTATAAGTCACTGGCAATATTACCTTTTCACTGACCCTAGAGGCATTTTTTTAAATAATTTTATTTATTTGTGTATTTTTTTCCCCAAAGCCCCAGTAGATAGTTGTATGTCATATCTGCACATCCTTCTAGTTGCTGTACGTGGGACGCGGCCTCAGCATGGCTGGAGAAGCAGTGCGTCGATGCGCGCCCGGGATCCGAACCCGGGCCACCAGCAGTGGAGCACGTGCACTTAACCGCTAAGCTGTGGGGCCGGCCCCCTAGAGACGTTTTTATTCTTACCCTTAGAATATGTAAATTTTTTTTTGCTAAAACAATAAACTATCCAATACATGCATAGGTTTAATGTTGGTGATTTCCAGATTTGCTAAGGAATGTTAAAATTACAAATTTTTTGTATCTTGTTTTCCCGTAAAGTAGCAATTTTAAAACTTCAAAAACTTTCTTTCTCGAAATTGGATGCGTCTCTTTTTATAATGTCTTTTTTTTTTATAATTTTATTTTTTTTCCCCCAAAGCCCTAGTAGATAGTTGTATGTCATAGCTGCACATTCGTCTAGTTGCTGTATGTGGGACGCGGCCTCAGCATAGCCGGAGAAGTAGCCTGTCAGCGCGCGCCCGGGATCCAAATCCGGGCTGCCAGCAGCGAAGCGCACGCACTTAACTGCTAAGCCACGGGGCCAGCCCTATAATGTCTTTTATTTTATTTTATTTTTTTAAAGATTTTATTTATTTTATTTTTTCCCCCCAAAGCCCCAGTAGATAGTTGTATGTCATAGCTGCACATCCTTCTAGTTGCTGTATGTGGGACTCGGCCTCAGGAT